AGGAGTAACAGCGAAAAAAGAAAAAAAAAGCGCCAAAGAGACGATAAAAATACCTACGGGTGTAACCCACCAACGTACAATTGGACCAGCTGGCGAAGCGTATGCGCATACCATACTTTAGAGGCGTTTTTATGCGTGACCCATCACCAATTAGCGGCGCGCGTTGAAAAGAAAGCGGTATCATAAATCTGGACGACACGACGGCTCCCGGTACTCATTGGGTAGCGTACGCAAAGAGAAACAATCGCGTTGTGTACTTTGACAGTTTCGGTAATCTTCGACCGCCCAAGGAACTGATATGATATTTCGGAGACGATGCTACGATAGAGTACAATCGAACGTTCTATCAGATGTACGATCAGAGCGTCTGCGGACAGTTGTACTTGTGATTTCTTCTCCAAAACGGCCGACGCGCGTGAATTTATAAAATCCGACAAAATATCGCGACGTCTCAGTATTCGTCGAACGCTTTTTTCATCATGTCGCTGACGCTTACGCTGAGCGGAAAGAGCAGCGTTCTTCAGCGGCAAATTACTTTCCAGCCATAGATTTGAGCGACGATGAGCTTGGTCTAACAATTTTGGAGACTTATCACGATACCGAATGTAAACGCTTCGAACAATACATTTTATTTTGGCAAAGACGACGCAGAAATTACGATTCCCGAGGGGTCATATGAACTGCATGCCATAAATGAATTTTTGAAACGATGGCGATGACGAGATTTGGCGATGACGAGATTGGAGAATACCCGATAGTGCTCCACGCAAATTACAACACGATGAGGTGTGAGATTAAATGCGTTTACAGAATAAACTTTAACAAGCCTCATAACATTGGATCGCTGCTGCGTTTCTCGAGGCGTATACTGCAACCGCGAAGGTGGCACGAATCGGACGTGTCGATCGACATAATCATCAACATAAACGTGAACGTAAACATTATCCGTGTAGAGTGCAACGTGACTGCGGGCGCATACAGCAACGACAAAAGTGCACACGATACACGAATTTTCGCCGAGCGTGCCGCCAGGATATAAGATATCGGAAAAGCCGATGCAGATCATTTACCTGCCAGTCATCGTACGGAGCATTACGGAGCTAACGATACGCATTGTTGACTAGAACGACGATTGCTCGATTTCAGAGGAGAAGAGATCACCGTCAGATTGCACGACGGCGACAGCGATAATGCGAGCGTGACATTTGAGATGCTCGTGTTGAACGAAGCGAAGCATACACAGAGAGATAACGCATCTTTTACAAAGAAAACATCGATCGATAATACTCGCTCATCCGGTGTCTGTGTCAAGAAGAGGAAAAAACTTAACGCGTCGAACGTTAAATTTTTACAAGCTTTAGGATTCGCGGTATGCAACTTATGAAATGACTGATATCTTAAACATCGAAAACGAGCCAATCTTTGACGATCGCATCGTCAAGATTGAGATTCATGTGTACAACCCATTCGCCAATACGACGTTCGGATACAGCGATGAGATAAGAATACCCATACAGCAACAGGATCTGTACACATTGTCGTACGACAGCTTTCTATATATCGAGGGAAAACTAACGAAGAACAGAGTTGTCGAAGGATCTGATGTGGTGTTGGGAAATAATTTTGTCGCGTTCCTGTTCGATGAGATTTGATACGAGCTTGATGGTGTGGGGATTGATCGTAACAGAAACGTGGGCATAACCAGTACGCTCAAATATTACGTAACAACATCATCCGACAGAAGCGTGATTCTGAGGAATGCCGGTTGGGATGCGCGTACTAATGTGGATCCCAACCGGATGGATATTTTAACTTTTGCGTATCTCTCTACGCACTGTTGGGATTCTGCGAGGATTACAGACGCGTGGTAATCAACGCTCGTCACGAGTTGATCTTGATACGATCGCGTAACGACAACAATTGCCTGATGGGAAATTCGATGTTGGATCCCGTGGTCGACTTATTCAAGATACAATGGCGAATGCCGCACGTGTTATTGAGCGAGATAAAAAACTATCAATGCTGCGCACTTTGGAGAGCGAATACTTGATACTTGAGCATGGCTTTTCGCTCGTGGGATCTGTACGAGTTTCCGCTGTTACAGCGTACAACCAAGCATTTGTGGGCCATCAAGACCGCTACTCAGCTCAAGAAGCCGCGATACGTCATTTTCGCTCTGCAAGCAGGTCGCAAAAATGTCATGGCTGAGGACACGAGCCGATTCGACGACTGCAACTTAACCAACGTGAAACTCTATCTGAACTCGGAATGTTATCCGTACGACGATATGAATCTTAATTTCGACAAAAACAGATGGTCCGTGTCGTATGAAACATACGCGCGTTTCTGCAAGGGTTACTACGGATATCTCGAGCCGAGTCTCACCATCACATCTTTTCTACATAACGGTCCATTCATAATCATCGATTGTTCTCGACAAAACGAATCGATCAAGAGCGCAACCGTGGACGTGAGATTGGAATTTGAGACTAAGGAGAACGTACCGATGAATACCACCACGTACTGTCTTATTATACATGATCGCGTGGTTCACTACAATCCGTTGACCAATGTTGTACGCAAGATCACCTAAGAGCATTGCTGGCACATGAGAGAGAGAGAGATAATAAAATCTACGATATATCGAAATCGACCGCAGTCTCGAAAAATTGCTCGTCATGGTCGTGCCAACGTTCGTAGATCTGCAAGATTTTCTCATTGGAGGACAGTTTAGTAAAGGAGTTTGCCGCTCTCAGAAAACGGACCGTTCTCTCTCATTACATTTTTGCAAGCCCTATCCCATGGCATTTCCTCGCAAGTGCCGACAAGTCTCGCGCACGCTGGGTGATACGTCATCATCATAGACTGCGATGGGACAACGGAACGATTCCATACAGCAAAGCTAAGAGTTTGATTACAAAGGCTGTGCATGGAATGGAAGAAGACGATGACGACGACGACGACGACGACGACGACGATGATGTCGTATATGTCAAGGGACATGAAAAACGACAATGGCTGTGGTTGGTTCTGGACGATGAGCGCGTGTACATCGAAACTCTGGATGCTGATTACGAAGACGTAGATTCTCTAAACAATCTGGACGCTAATAATACTATGCAATGCGGATATCATTATACTAATTGCGCATTACAAAATGTATTCAAATTATTTAATTGGTGGTCAGATAACTATGAATAAAATAAATATGATATACGAATTATGTTTTTTTATTCTTTTTCCCCGCCATCCAAAACACAAATTGCTAAAACATATTTTTATACTCTTCTGTAAAAAAAAATCTTCTTTTACAAAACATATAAACACATATATAAACACATGTAATTCAAAAAAGTCAAAAATCATTACGGATACGAAAAGAGTCTGGAGGAAGGGAGAGAACCGCAACGGAAGAGATAATAGGTATACAAGAGAGATATTTATTTTTTTATTCGGCGGCGGTGGCGGTGGCAGCGACGGCGGCGCCCCCTCCTGACGTCATGTCCATGCGTCCTGTCCAAGTTTTTTATATCATTTTCGCCGCCCATTTTGTTTATATCGCCTTGCTATCTTATCCTATTTGTTTATCTCACTCAATTTTCTATTTGTTTATCTATGTATTTATCTTCTTGTTTATCTATTTGTTTATCTACTTTTTTATTCACTTGTTTATGTCCCCTTCACCGAATCCTATTATCTTATCTCCTCCCCCACAGCTCAATTCAAAGGATCGCCGCCTCTGACTTTCCCCTCCCTTCTTCCCCGCGCCACCGTTCTCCCCCCGCACACCCGCACCTCCCTCAACGCTTCTGAGTTAAAACCTAGTATACGGCCTAGTACCTACGGCCTAGTATACCTACTTACGTTGTTGCATATTGCACATCTCCATTTTTTTAACAGCAACTATGTATTTTCTTTATATCAATTAACTCACGATTTTCTCACAAGAAGTGAGGTACAGTTATTAGATATTCTGAGCTTACTAGATATATTATATTATATTATTCTGTATTTAACTTTTAGATTATTTAATGATTAAAACTCTTGCTAGTTCACTGCAGCTATCTTTAATAATGATATCAGAAGCTAGTAAACACATAATAAAAGTTTTTACAAAATAAATTCACTCTATAGAACAGACTTGTAAAATATATCGAAAGCTTTTCTCTTGTTACTTAACTAATAGCTATATATCTAGAATTGAATTGTAACTTTCTTGTTGATTAGGCACAATTATTTTCTAGCGATGTGATGATTGTTTCTTGATTACCAGAATGAAAAAAGTTTTTGGTATATTTTACAAGTCTGTTTTATTAAATATAAATTATTTTATTAAATTTTAGTCAGATTTATTTTCAATATTCAAAAATTTATAAATATCTGATTCTGTGTTTAAAGATCAGAACAAAAATTTTGTCAAACAGACAATAGATGGCTTCCATTGGCAGACTGAATCTTCGTGTCGAATAATTTTTACTTTTCTGAATTTCAAGACAATGCTTATCGCGAACTACGTGTCGTTAAATTAACGATCTTGCAACGTAGCCTGCTCAAAGCTAAATCTAAATTCACACTTTCCCTATTAAATCGATAATCAAATTTGAAATCGATTAATCCCCGACTATTGAAAATTATTTTATTACGAAAAATATTATCTCAGCCATGAATCGAACCTGGATCGCTCGCTTAACATGCGAGTATCTTATCCATTCGACTGAGGCATGTGGTAATATTTATTGTAACAACCGGATAAATAATTTTGAAAGAACGCTAAGTGCCGCATGAAGAATAACAATAATGATAATTACAGCCAATATATGTTTCAAATAAATAGACAATAGATGGCTTCTCTCGGCAGACTGGATCTACGTGTCGAATAATTTTTATTTTCTGAATTTCAAGACAATGCTTATCGCGAACTATATGTCGTTAAATCAATCAGCTTGCAACGTAGCTACCTACTCAAGCTAAACCTACAGCTTGCAACGTAGCTACCTACTCAAAGCTAAAAAATTTTTTATTATTTATTTGACATAAGTGATACGTTCATGTTAAGGGGGAATCTCATTTTTCGAGTAAAAAAAATCGATTTTTTTTACGGAATCTTTTAGTTTAATATCTTAAGAATATCTCCAAAATTTGTATCGAAATTCGTAGAACTTCAGAAGTTATGAGCTCTTAACCGACCGAGTACCTGGCTAAGCGCATAAGATTTTTAATAATCGATAGCTGTTCCAGTTTTGTTCTCAGCACAAGAATCAAGTTAGGGGACATTTGTGTTATTTAACAGTGAAATTTTCAGTAATCATTTAGCCTGTGTGAAACTAACGCACGAAAATAAAGAACAATGAATCGCAAACATTCACAAAACATGTCTGAACGTGCTAACAGACCAAAAAAAAAAGAAAAATCACGGATAATATTCACATTCGGGAAATGAATACTTCACTTGCAAGTACATCAGCAGAAAAATTATCAGTATTCAAGACAAAGAAACGTCAAAATATTTTGCAACGCGCGAGATCATCGCTTTGAAAAATCAACGCGACGGAGCCTTCTACGAAAAAGATTCGAATAAAACGAAGAACAGATGGCTTAAAATCAATTTTATGAAAATAAGGATAGATTATTATATGCCCCTGGGATAGCAGAGTAACAGATATATGATGTATTTGATATAATTATATAAATTAAACTTAAAACTTTAAATGCTGTTTTCTCAAAATAGTATTTTTGCAGATGGTGTGCACGATATTTTTGACCACTGAACCGATTACTTTCAAATTTGGCCTGCATGTTCAGCAAACATTACTTTATCGTTTGATGAACCAAAATATTGATAAGTTACATATTTTTTTTATTACATAAAAATAATGAATGAATTTTGATAGTAAAAATTATAGTTCTGATTTGAAAAATCACCATTTCCATAATAATTACTTTTTTAAATTTTGGTTCATCAAATTGAAGCTACATGTGTATAAAGTAAAACGCCATTTGATTTTTTGTTTCAGAATACCTGGAAAAATATCGTGTACACCAATGGACGACGAAGGCGTTTGCGTGACGTGATATTCGATTATTAATATCTTTTACATTTATTATTAAAATTTAATATAAAAAAATTGTAAGTTGTTCAAACGTAAATAAAAACATGGTATAAATTTTACATAAATCGAATTGCTAGTTTCTTAAAAAAAATTCGCAAATTTTGTCATGTTTTGAGTCGAAATAATAGGATTCCTCTTTAATATCATTATTCTAATCGGATCATAATCTAAATTCAATGATAAAAATATAGGAATTCAGATTATCCATTCACTTTATTATAAACATTAATTTTAATTCATGTATTTTCATTATGTAATTTTCCATTTTTATTTACTTTTATGGTTACATATTGTTATTAAAGAGCAGTTATTAGTAATATAATTTTTTTTTTAGATTTTTTTTAGACTTATTGTATTATATTTGTATGATACGTATATATACATGTAAGCACATATACATTACATTATATTAAAAAAGCAAACGTCTCGTGTGTGTATGTGTGTATGTATCCGTATGTGTGTATAACAAGACATTGCTTTAAACAATTTAAATTTATAATTTAACAAATAATCAAAGAGATGACGTCAAGTATATTAAATATCGATATATATATATAAATAATATCAATTCTATTAGGGTGCGCCATATGAAGTACTCCTTGGTGATTGCGTTTGAAGAGTCTGCTGATTAGATGTAGCCTGTGTAGAAGCTATTGTCGTAGGAGTAATTACACGAGCATATACGGTACCACCCGCAGTTTTCAATCCGGTTGGAGTGGGAATTACTTTGAGCCCATGCAATGTTTTGATATTAAGCAATTGACTCGGCAAAATAATTGGTTGTTGTGTTTGTTGTTGTTGTTGTGAGGTTGGCTGTTTGCCCAATACTACATTTCCACCACTGGTGTTTACCGCAACTCCAACATTTTTATTACTACTCGCTAATACAATAGGTTTTCCTGCAAGTTGAGCGGTGACCATCCGGACAGTCTGTTGTGGTTGAGATTGCTGATGTTGTGTACTGACTGCTATTACCTTAGATTGACTAGAAGACGTTTGCGCTTGTGGCACCACCTAAAAATATTCATGCAATATAAAAAAAATATGTTTGTATACTATTGAAAACTATTGGTAAGATTGAAAGTTTTAATTATTTAAATATAATAATTATGAGTTTGGTATTTTATGATTTATGCCAATATTATTACTATTATTAATAGTAATATTTTATGTAGCATTGACGTTTTTATAACTATAAATGTTATTATCAAATTTGTTTTAATAAGTAAAAAAAATTAATTTGTTATATAACTTACTTGATATTGTGCCTGTATGACTTGCTTGCCTCTATTAAGCTGATTAGTATGACCAGTAGCTAGTTTCAATCCTTTCTGAGCAAGCAGACTTTCAACAGATATAATCTGTCCTCCACTACTGTTTGTTAAAACTTTTGCTAATATTTTTTGTTGTTGCTGTTGATGATGATGAGGCGATTGTTGTATTTGGACAGCAATCGGTTTTCCTCCAATTTGTGCAATTATGCGTTGCATTCCCGGATTTTGTTGTACAGATTGTTGTTGGCTAGATGCAACTCGTTGTTGTTGAAGTTGTTGCTGCTAAGATCAGAATAAAATTAATCAAAATAAAAGTATATAATAAACTTAGTAAAATAGTAAAAATAAGGTTTGTTTACAAAGATACCTTTAGTTGTTGTTGTTGTTGTTGTTGTTGTTGCTGCTGCTGTTGTTGTAATTGCTGTTGTGATTGATTGCTAGGTGTCGAGGATTGTTTGATAAATATAGTTTGACCTTGAAGACCATGACTTGTGAGTAATGATTTAATTTGATTAGAACTAACTAATTTAATTTGTGATGCTAAGAGAGTTTTGCTTGGCAATACATGTTGTTGTGATTGTTGTTGCGATTGCTGTTTTATATTAGTCGTTTGTAAAATACTTTTTCCTGCTTGATTAGTTATTGTAGTTGATTGTTGCTGATTTTGTATTTTTGTAGATGGTAATATCGTTGTTAAATTTGTTGTAGTTCCATTTATTACATTTGAATTATTGTTAGCTGAAATAGACTGCTGTGCAGATTGCAATACAGAATGTCCAGACAAACGAATGGTTTGTAGACCAGCAGATGTTGATACTTGAATTTGGTGATGGGGAAAATTGTGTTGATTTGATTGCAATAGACTTTGAGCAGCATTTGTTTTGAGTACAGCAATTGGTTTTCCTCCAATAGTAGATGCCTTTTTCACCATCGTTATTGGAGCGAGTTGCGATTTCGTATCTATTGCAATGTTATCTCGTTCTGTGCTTACTACGTTTGTGACTATAGCCGAAGAAGTCACAATTGATGCAACAGAAACAGGAATTTCAGTGGTAGAAATGGTTGGCGTTATTGTACTAATGGCCATTTCTACATTAGTATTAACGGAATGTTCAGTGACAATAGGATGCTCATTGATAATTTTTTCTTCAATTTTACGCTGCTCTTTTCTGAAAAAAAGAAAATAATAATAAACATACGATTGCTTCTCCTAAACATTGTTAAATGGTTTTTAAGTAAGTATTAAAGATACTTGGGAACAACAGATTGCGCGGGCATAGTTGCCATTCGCCTTTCTTTTTTGAGAATAACTTCTTTAGTATTTAAAGACTGTTCCTTATTTATATTGGTTGATTTGAGAATTGGTTGTACTACTTTATTTCGCGACGTATTGCCAACGCTTTTTTTATTCTTCGCGATACCTTGCAATTGTTGATGAACCATTTCTGCAAAAGATAAGAAGTATTTTTTTCATAAGCAAATTAAAATCACATATGTTTCAAAAGTATTTAATTCATAATAAACAGTATATAAAATAAATGAAAACGAACCAAATTCAGATTCAGATCGTCCTCGATGAAGATAAAGCCATTCTTTTCGACGAGGATAATATCTAACACAAGGATCTGTCTCGTAATGTAGTCTATCAAGCGCTCCTGATACTACAGAATGAAGATATCCTTCTTTTTCATCATTATCTTGTTCTATAATATATTGCGAATCCTTCAACAATTGACAAATATCAGCTCGAGTCCCTTCACCATTAGGAAGTCGGGCAGTAGCATCTCTAACTAATGCTAAAATTGTTACGAAGTTTGGACGATCTGGCACCAACAATGAATGTCCTCGTGCTTTAGCTTGTCCTGAAGCTTAATATAAATAATATCATTATAATCCAATATAATCTCATATCTTTAATAAATCAATAATTAAAAATAAGTTTTAAAATATCAAATTTATAAGTTTTTTATCAAAAGTTTAGATATTAGTTATATAAAATTTCCTTAGCATATAGAATTTTAATCATGTAAAATTTTTCATCGTAACATAATGTAAAAATAAGAGGAATAAAATATATCTGTTATAATGCTTTATAAAGTAGATTAAGCGAATAGTTTAGTATAAATCAAAATATTTCAATTGATTCCATTGCGTACAAATTTCTTATATACTTTTAACTAGTATACGACTTGCTTTTATATATTGTATGTACATTTACATTTACTAATTACATTGATTTGTAATTACAAATTATAAATTTTTAAATAAGCCAAATTTAGCATTGTCAACGTGCGTAATAAAGGATAATTCAAACATACCAACATTATGCTGGTAAATTCCTTTAACGGGACCGACTACGGATGCATAGCCATGCATACGATAAGTAAACGCCTTATGAGGTGCAGCATAACGCATACGTTCTTGTTTTCTGAATTCTTCACGTTCTTCTATTGTGGATGGGCGAATTTTCCATTCTGTAGGGAATAGTGGTCGAGGTGGTTCCCAATCAGTTCCAGCAGCACTAGCATCTATATTGTTAGCTTCTAGTATAGGACTTCCGCTTCTATTACTTTGCAAGATTCCACTCATAACAATTGTGTTACTACTTGTACCATTATTATTCAAAGAGGAAAGTTGAGATTGTGGTTTTATAGCTGTTACAGTATTGGTAGTTGAAGTATGCGGCGGTGCCAACATGTCTCTATAAAAGTATAATTATTCGTGAACAATTTATATAAAAAATATTTCAATATAAATGCTCTTTAATTTGTGACTCATGAAAAACGAGCAAAAGAATTTAAATCAAATAAATGAATTGACAAGAAAAAATGCAAGCGTTTATTTGATATTGTTAGAATATAATGTTTTATAATGTAGCAATAAAAAAATTAACTGATTAACGTTTATCACTTCTTACTTGTACATAAGGAATTTTGTACATAGATCCTGCAGTCGGGTATCAGAGTCTCTTCCAGCACCAATCCATGCGTATACGCCTCGACCTTTATTTTCCAGATAAGGTACAAGTTCCTGATCTCGTTCTTGTCGTTGATCCAAATCCTGAGAATACATTAATTCGCCTGCAAGAAATCCTAGAGCTAATGGTACTAAAGTAGACCATGAAGGTACTAAAGAATACCTACAACATCATAAAATTTATTAAGAAATATTATCTTCAATTGTACATATTATAGTATCTTATGTGATATTACCAATCATTCAATGGTGAAATAGGATTGCCTTGCCACTGTGTTATTGCTTCTTTCATTTCTATTGCACTCATTCGGTATTCTCCCTTAGAAGTAAAAGCATCTCGTAACAGAGAGAAAAAGCATGTATGCGTCTCTTGCATTAATTCTGCTCCATTGTTCACATCTATAGTACCTTCACTAGACTGTACAATTAATTTTTTTCAGATGTTGGTATAACTCCTTCATCTTCACATCTATGAACATTAATTTATATATTGTGATTATTAATTCTTTTGACTAATTACAATTATTGTAATAAACATTATATGTAGTAGTAAACTTACTTAACATCGTCCAGTATATCAATCCCATCATCAAGTTGAATTGGTAACTGCATCATATCAATATTATCTAAATCAAGCTCTTTTTTAGATTCATTTTCTTCTTCCTCTTCAGTTTCAGCCAACATATCCTCGTTTATACTTAAACTTAATTTGGTTTTAATTTTGTCATATTCTATATCTTCAACTTCCTTTTTTATCTCTGATGTATTGATTACTATTGATTTGCTACTTTTTTTGTAGTCATTGAGCTGCTATAAATAAGAAATATAATGGAAACACGATTTATATTTATCTGATATGTATGTGTATGTGTGTATGTGTGTAGATGTGTGTGTGTGTGTGTGTGTGTGTGTGTGTTTGTGTTTGTATATATATAAAATTATAATTACATTTTCTTTTTAGCTACTTGATGTGCTTCATATGCTTCAACAGGTTCCGATTTTGTAGGTGTTATTTTATTGTAATCTATATCCACTATACACTTGTCTCTACACTGTTGTCTATTATCTTCCGTTATATGAGAATAATCACTGTTATCGCTTTCATGTTTCACCGAATTGGAGCTTGTTAGTTTTGTCGCAGGCGAACATAATAAATTTTGTTCTAATTTGATTTTTTTTTCATGGATGTAATTTTCATAGAATTACCAATTGAGAGTTTTTGTTTTTGACCAATCTGTGATCTTTGTGTGAGATCAGCAAGTGCAATTCCTTGAGTATTCAATTCCGGATGAAGCTACATATTTAATTTAGTCAGCATTACTTAAATAAATAATAACAAATAATAATAACAACCAATGAAATATTATACATACGTCACGACGAGCTCGCCGTTTTTTATGTGCAATCAACATAGCACGGTAAGTCTCTTCTGTTTGTTCATGTACAAATAATGATTTGCTGGAAGCGTATTCCAATCGTTGTAAAGTGGAAAATACAGGTCGGATTGTATTATCCTCATGATTGAGTTGTAGGCCTTTAACTAACAATCCTTGAAAATTTGTAACAAAACGCCGTTTTCTCTTTTTAACTCCAATCATTTGATAATGAGGATAATTCTCTTCATTTTCGGATGTCGTATCAGCAGATAGTCTTGTGTTAGCTCCAAGTTCTGCCTTGACTGCATTTAGTTCTTCTATATAACGCAGCTGAGTCTTTTCTTCAACTGTTATTTGTTCTTATATTAGTCTATCTTTCAGTTATATTTCTTTGATCAAAATACAAGAGAAATACAAATAATAGAAAAATATTAAATATAAAGAGTACACGTACCCATTATTGGCTTTGGTTTGCGCCAATGAAGTTTAGATACTGTTCGGTTTACCGGTTGATTGAAACCTTGTTTATATGCATTTGATAATAAACTTTCTCGTGACTTAAGTAATTGATTTGCTAATTCGTACGATCGTTTCTGTTCCTCAAACAATAATCTTCTTTTTTGTGCTTTGCAAACTAAACCACGTATTTTTTTAATATCAGGACGATAATGACCAGAGGAAAGATGATGATGAAACGCATCCAATGTCGTTACACCAAATCTATGTTTCCAAAATGCTAATTAAATTCTTTTAGGAATCAATCTTAAATTATTTTACTTTGTAAAATATTTTTAATTATTACCTTTCGTTTTCTCTGTTAAATAGCATTTCTAGAGATTTCTCCATTTGTGCTTCTATATTGGAATCTTTTGGAAATGTTGGTAAAAGATTATATAATGTTTCTCGTTGACTTTCAGTAAGCCATTCATTCCAAAAACGAGGATAATCTAACATTTCCTTGAAAATACTGAAGTGTTCACAAAGATCTTGTGGTAATTTTACTTTAATATTAGCGGCGACACAAGTTTCCCATCTCTAAAAAGTGAATTTGTAACATAATGTAATAATTAATTAATGATAATGCTTTAAGGGAAAGATGCAGTTGAAGATGATCAAAAGGTTTCTTAAGATAATTTTTTTAAATAGAACTTTTTCTTATCTACTTTTTAAAAAACAGCGTGTAAAATTATTAAATTTTGGGGACGGTGTACTAGGAGAAGTGTGGAAATACGGGGGAGAAGAATTAATGGAATGGACAAGAGATTTTTGCAACAGAATTTGGAAAGGGGAGGGATGGCCGGAAGACTGAAAAGAAAGAATGATAATATCAATAATTAAAAAAGAAGAAGGAAAGAAGGCAGAGGACTACAGGGGAGTTACACTGATGACGGCAATGTATAAGATATATGTAATGGTGTTGGCGGAAAAATTAAGAATAGAATGCGAAGAGAAGAAGATGACTAGAAGATGATTCTAAACAGGGCCAAAGGGTTTAAGAAAGGAATGGGAACGATGGACAATATATATGTGGTAAACTATTTGATAAACAGACAATTGGGAAAAAGGAAAAAAACGGTGGCATTATTCGTGGATAGCGGCGTTCGATTCGATGGACAGAAGGATATTATACAAAGCAATGAGAGAAAGAGAAATCAAAGAGGAGCTAATAGAAAGGGTTAGGGAGATACTAAAGGAGACAAAAAGTAGAGTGAAAGTTGGAGGAGAGATGGGAGAAAGTTTTGAATGGCAAGGAGAGTAAGGCAGGGATGTCCACTGAGTCCGATGCTATTTAGTATAGTGATAGCAGATGGAAGAAGAATTGGAGAAAGTTAAGTGGGGAGGAATTAGAATTGGAGAAAGAAGGGTTTACTCATTGGCGTACGCTGATAACATAGTGTTACTTGCAGAGGATAAAGAAGGGATGAAGAGTATGATGGGAAGACTGGAGGAATATATGAAAAGGAAAAAATTGGAACTGAACGTGAACAAAACTAAGATTATGAGATTTAGGAAAGGAGGCGGAAGGATAGGAAGGAAAGATTGGAGATGGAAAGGGAAGAAAATAGAAATTAAGAAATTCACGTATTTAGGGTATATGCTGCAAAGGAATGGAGGATAGGGGGCCCAGATGAAGGAAAGGATTAAGAAGACAGCCATGATAATGGGGGAAATAGGTAAGAGAAGATTCGGAAAGGAATAGAAGGATATGGATATTCGATAGATTAGTATGGACAGTGATGAGTTATGGTGTGGAAATTTGGGAGTGGAAAAAAAGGGAGGGAATGGAACGAATGAAAGAAAGATATTTAAGGTGGGTATTAGACTGGATAGAAGAACACCAAGATATTTGGTGAGGGAGGAAACGAAAAGAGGCAAATTGAAAAAAAGAGCGAGAATAAGAGCATGGGGATTCGAAAAAAGACTGATAGAGGGAAAGGGAAGTGAGTTGACGAGGTTATGTTGGGAGGAAATAAGTAAGAGGGGCAACGCAGGGAAGGCGGGGAAGGCGGGGAAGGAGTGGGAAGAGGAAAGAAGAAAATTTTTTGAAGACAGAGATTGGGATATAAAGAAGGTAGAGAGGAGAAAGACGGAAGGGAACATGTGGTTCGGAGAAATTTAAAAAAAGGATAAAGAGAAACAAAGGGAGGAAGATTACAGAGGATAAGAAAATCTAGATTCTGCAGATGGTATAGCGCAGTCAGGACGGAAGGTTTCCCGGAATATCTGAGGAAAGAGTGGGAGGAGAGCAGATGAAAGAGAGTGATAAGATTCAAGTTAAGTAATAAAATGAGAAAGAAATGAGTATTGGGAAGGGATAAGAGAACTTGTAGATTATGCGGAAGTGAGGAAGAAACATGGGAGCATGTGTGGGAAAGATGCAGGGCGTGGAACTCAGGAGGGAAGAGTTGGCAGGAAGTGGTAGGTTGGATATTAGGAGAGAAGGGGGAGGAAGAGGAATGGATGAGGAAGGTAGAAGAAAAGAGAAAGGAGCAAGAGGAAAACGGAACGGAAAATAGAGCACAGGACAGAAGAAAAGAGGAGGAAAGGAGGGATGGAAAAAATGAAGGAATGAATGATGAGGGGAGAGGAAGAGATAAAGAGAAAGAGAAGAAAAGAGGGAGAGAGAGAAAGGAGAGGAGTGTATAGGAAAGGGAGGGCATCCGGGAAGGGAAACGGAACATGTCAAAAAGAGCATATGCAAGAGAAAGCGGAAGTCCCCTAGCGTGTGTGCGTGTTCTGATAGGGAAGGGGGGAGAGTGGGAGAGTAGGTTAAGTCAGTAGGTTAAGCTAGCATAAGTTATTGGTAAGAGTAAATTAAGTTAAAATAGTTTAAGAAAATGGAAAGCGGAAATGTAAAGCGGAAGTAGGTTGTAAGAATATTATAAGAATAACTATGTGTATACAAGAGCGTAACCCCTAGGGTTCGTATCGCTAATAAAATATTATTATTATTAAATTTCAAAATGTCTAAAAAGGAATAAAAACATATAGTCTTTATATGTATCAAAACAGACAATACGTAGTATAACTAATCTCTTAATTATACACAATTATTATTAAATTCTATTATTTATGTTTTAATATTCTTTTATATCTTAGCTTGATACTTATAAAAGTTTAGCTTTAATAAGATGTCCACAAATAGAAAATATATTAAAACTAAACAAAACTAGAAAATAAAAATAACTTAATTACATCATATAATAATACTACTAATAAAAAGTTAATAAAAATGATAAAAAATCCATAGTGATAATAATAAAATAGTAAATAATAAAATAGTAAATTCGGGGGCTCGAGCCATGCTTGATGCAATCTCTCCTGTCGTGCTCCAGGAGGATTATTTGTATATTTGCTAATGGCGTTGGAGGGTGTCGCCGCTGCAGTCCGACCTGCATCCATCGAGTGAGAGACCAACATCGCTCTGGAGTACCGGTCGTGGGGATTCGAAAGAATACATGTATATATGTATATTGTAATATATATATATATGTATCATTGTATTGTTGACGTGTTATTCTAAACACGTTATTTGCGATAAATATCATCACATGCCTCGGTAGTCGAAAGGATAAGATGCCTGCCCGGTAAGCAGGAGATCCAGGTTCGATTCCTGGCTGAGGTGGTATTTTTTCGCAAAATAATTACGAGTTTTTCACGACTGGTTCGTGGTCGGGCCCCGCCGTGACGCACACCCTCCCTTCTTATTTGGGTATAATAAAATAGTAAAAATGTCAATAAAAATAAATTTAGAATGAATGATAAACAGTAAACCATATAAATAAAAACAATATTTTATATTAATATCTTTCTAAATATCTTTCCACAATCTTACATATATTGAAATATTATAACATATTTATGTGAAACCTATAGTCTTGATTTGAAATAATAAAAAAAAAATATATCATAAAGAACAGAGAAGAAGAGGGATTATGTTATGATGATGTCAAATAGCATCAAAATCTTTCAAGTACTATTAACTTCTATGAAAAATTACCTTTTATCTTTTAAATAAATTATAACTAATCAATTTTAAAAAATTAAAACATTATTAAAAGTTATTAGTAATCTGTAAAATTGAGTAATAATTAGTTAAAAAATCAAAAGTTAACTAATAAAGTTAAAGTTAATAACTTTTAACTTAATTTTAAATGAATTAATTTATAAATTAATTAATTTTTTTAATTAATTATTTTTAAAACACATTAACTTTAACTTTATTAATTTTTTTCCTAAATTAATTTTTTCCTAAAAATTTACTTATGTAGAAAAAAAATATAAGAGAAGAAACGCATTCTCATATAAAAAGAACAATATTTTTTTATTTCCTATAAATTTAATTTACATAAAATATTAAATTTATTTGATGATCTATATTGTAATTATTTATTATTTAGAATATTTTAATTTTAAAAAAATTACATTCTAATTTAATACTTTTTAAAATTAACTTTTAATTTAAATTAATTTAATTTTAATGCAACTTTTAATTAAGTTAGTTTTTTTATAAGCCATTATCTCTCACTTAATTTAGTTAAAAAGTAATATTAACTTATCCAACCTTGCTAATTTATTGCAAGAAACTAATTTCCTTCAACTAATAATTAAAATTCAAAAAAGGAAAAAAATTTGATTAAGATATAGCTACTATAGCTAGTATACAAGATATATATATATATATATATATATATATATATATATATATATAT